GTTAATTCAAGAAGGTTTAAACATTAATTTGATTCATTAGTGTGCTAGGTCGATAAAAATTTATAAATCTAGGTAATTAAAATCTTAGTTTTTTTTTATCATTGTGGTAACGTATTAACATAAGCAGCATTTTTGTTTACGACCGTGTGACCCAAACATTGATTAAATCTGGTGACTGCGTTGGGAATCCCAGCCGAGTGGAAAAAAATCTTATTTCCTTTTTATAATAAATATATTCATATCCTCAATACTAAGGAAAAGAGGATCACAGCAGGACGGTAAAAACTATCGTGTAATCAGGCTGCTTGTCATTGTTAGAAAACTGTATGCTAAGGTGACGATAAAAAAAGTTATGAAAGATATATATGGAAAAATTTGGGATGTGAAAGCTGCATTTAGAAACGGAATGGTATATATGGTTCAGGTCATTTCCATGCGCATGGTCACAAAGAAATTTTGGCTATAAACTAAACTATGGTTTTTGTGCATTTTTAGACTTGGAAAAGACCTTTAACATAATGGATGCAGTTGCTTTATATCAAACGGTGGTCTCGTTTGGTTGGTACCATTATGAATTACCCTTTTATGTGGCCTTTTCAAGATTGACAGAGTTGCTCACTTCACAAATTTAGATAGGCGGCGTGGCATGTTGATCGTAAAACACAATATGTCACAGCATTGTAATTTTTTTTAATAGAATTAGTGCGATAAGCGAGCACACAGTCCACCTGACGGTAAGTTGTTACTGTGGCCCATAGACATCTACACCTATCTTCGTTTACGAATTAATATGCAGATTCGTTGTCACCCGTGAGGACTAAGATAGAATGCCTCTTTTCCAGTAAAATGGTTCTCTGCACTCACCATACGAAACACAGCAGCATTAAGCTGCTATTTTACGCTGGTATTCTGATGAGAGCTTGGCCTTCCATGGTCGAGCCGACCCATTCGTGCCACAACTATCCTATTAATATAGCTGCAGCGTGGCTCAACCACGTATGTTGCTTTTCATTTCTAGTGTGAAGAATTTAGGTTATTTTTTATAAAACTAAAGTGACAAACAATTACAGTCTTTCTGATGGTAAGTAGCTAATGCATTCTATGGAAATCTGCAGCCAACTTCAACCTAATAGGGCTATAGATGTTTGAGATGTATGTCACCTCTGAGAACTAAGATGAAATGCATGAAAGTATTCTGTAAATATACTAGTACTCTATGCCCTTTAGATTTTTTTAACAGGATAAGGGTGACATACGAGCACACAGTCCACCTGATGGTAAGTGGTTGCTGCGGCCCATAGACATCTACATCTATCCTCTATTACAAATCAAAATGCAGATGCGTTGTCACCCGTGAGGGCTAAGATGGAATGCCTCATTTCCAGTAAAAACGGTCGTTCTCTACACTCACCATACGAAACACAGCAGCGTTAAGCTGCTATTTTACGCTGGTATCCTCTGAGAGTGTGGTACTTCCTCGGTCGAGCCGACCGATTCGTGCTACCACTATACTACTAATATAGCTGCAGCGTGGCTCTACCACGTATAAAGTAGACGTAGATCGGAGAACAGCAGTGCAAGTATAGCGGCCAAAGTAGGTAAGACGGTGGTACCTACCCAGACGTCCCCCTAGGTAGGTAAGGAGTCCTACCACCTATTGGGTTTACGTTTTTTTGTTTGACTGCCTCGTTGGTCTAGTAGTTGTAGTAGTGCGACTACTGATCACAAGGTTCCGGGTTCGACATCCGGGTTGGGCCAAAAAATCAGTTATTGAGTTTTTCCATCAAGAAACTCTCAGTAGCTGCCCGGAGTCAGAAAGCTGGCGGTGTCTCACCCCCGTGCCGCGGAAAGTACGTAAAGCCGTTGGTCCTTCGCCTGATCTCTCTCCGGTCGTGTCGGTTTACCGTCTCATCGGACTATGACAGCGAGGGAATAGAGAGTGCACCTGTACTTGCGCATGCACTTGGGCACTATAATGCTGTCCTGCGCCGATGGCTAGTCTCTGTTGAGGCTGGCCGCCTTGACCGAAATTCGGTTTGGAGGCCTTATTACGTTTTTTAAGTCTTTTTTAATAAACAGGGCCTTGTGTGCAAGTGAGGTTAGCATTTTGTTGAAGAAATTAATACGTCGATGATTACAGCTCGATAATATAGGCCAATCTAATCGGAATTTTAAAATCGAGCGTGTGGAAATTTGTTTGTGTAATATTTAAACAATTGAAAGGAATTCTTTAAATTTAAATTAAATGTAAATGGAGCACCTAATAAACAGATTTCATTGTGCAATTACGATTTACCTTTGAAGCTGTGGCTTCAACCCATGTCACTGTGTAGTTGACTCCTTGATGAGCTTGTTACACTTGCCAGTAATAAAATTCATCTATTAATAGACGTGCGTGAAAAGTCTAACAATTTATATAGTTGTTAATATTTAGTAAAATTTGGTTGTTCAGGTAAGTGGCGTTTTATTGTATGAAAGTATTGAGAATAGTAATTTAAATCAAAATTACTAGGTGGTAAAACTCATCTAGCGCCAAATAGCGGTGCCTGCATTGCTGTGTACCAATGAGGGCTAATAATTTACTGCTCACCAGATGTCGCTAGTTGACACTGAGGAAAAGTTTTTTGTTACACAATGTAATTTAAATGAGAAGTTAGTTTTTAATTAAAGTTTGTCACTTTCTAGAATATTATATTAATACACAAAACAATGACTCGGTGGTTTGCTCTTTAATTTTTTGCGCATTTTCAACGTTTTTTTTTTTAAATTTTTCTACTTTTATGTATATCTGTGGTTTGGTTTAGTTATTTTTAATATTATTAATATAAAATATAGCTAATAGTACACAAAGAAACATTAAACTTTATATTTTCCGAACAAATTAACTTTCGCGCTATGAAATCTGTCGAATATTATACCTCACTTAAGTGGCGCCGCCCTGGTGGCAGAAAAAGTCATTTAAAGGATGTGGAAAGCCAGTATTAGTCCTCAGAGTAGACGCTGCATTCTGTAGCCTTTAATCTTTGATTTTTTAACATCACATGGACTTTAAGTTTGATTGTCACTCCAGTTTTATAAAAAAATATAATAATTACATCCTTGGGTGATGGACTATGTCACCTTTTCCCCAATCACAATTTCAATTGCACGTGAACTCTGTTGATTGATGGACGAAGTCCTGGAAATGGACTGATAAAAGAAAATCCATATACATACGTTGAACCAATATTTCAAAGACTGTTGACAAGTAACAAAACTCTCAGAGCGAGGTCATCGGCCCCAGCGCCTACAGCGCAGGCGTCGATTTCGCAGGCTCTACAATACACTGTTATTTTTTACAATGTGCAATATTTTGATCAGTGTACAATATTCTTGGAACAAGAGTGAACATTGAGGAATACAAAATGTCACTGTATGGTAAAAGTTGATGCGCTGTAATTCTTTGTAAAAGTTATTGCTTACATAATTACCTATAAACAGCTGGTAAGCTCTTTCGGCTAAAAATAAAAATAAATAGATTCACTCTACAATTATTTTCGTTATTTGATTCATAAATAAATAGTAAATACTTTAAATAAAAATTACAGACCGACTCAGAACAAAAAGAAAGATTAAAATTTTGTTGAGACAGTATAATAATATACTTACATATTGAACAATAAAAGTCCTGACTTCATGAACGATATTGTAATAATATTTTTTTTTACTTTTGATTTCGGTATGTATTTTTTATTTATTTTTATTATTTTGCCGCTTTAAGTGGTTTAAGGAATATCACCATTCAAAATAATAACTAAACTGTCGTCTTATTTACTAATAATCACCAAAAAAAAAAAAATATTTAAATCGATTCAGCAGTTCATTCCGAGAAATAGGTAAGCACTCTTATGAGCATTCATAAAAAAACATACGAGTCGAATATCAAACCTTCTCGTTTTTGAACTCGGTTGATAAAAGATAGTATGGCTCATATTGTATGCATTACGTATGTTTATATGATTGGATGTATGGGAACGAGTTAGTTTTAAGTGTGATAATGGTAAACATTTAAGTTCAATGTTCAGCAAAGGATTTTTCAATATGATATACACAAGAAATACTTCTCTTTATTATCATAGATCCTTGTCACTGGAACTGGAACAGTCAATGGAATTTAAATTAATCTTTTTTAACGATTTTCCACAATATGTCAATTGCCAAAGCAACATTCGTAAATCATAATAATAATATCTTTGTTAATCAATATATACTTAGTTTTATACCCTCATTCCCTGTTTTATAAATGTGTAACATTATATAATGTTAATTAATATTTCGTAACATTTTTTTTTAATCAAAAACGTCACCCCCACACTAGGATTTTCTCCTGTGTCGTTTGAGTTTACAAACATAAATTGCACAAGGACAAACATCCAGACCCGGAACAATTATTTGTAGGCCATATAAATATTTGTTCCGTGCGGGATTCGAACCCGCGGCCCCCAGCGCAACAACTGATTGCTAAGCCACTGCGCCACGGAGCCGTCGTTTATTTTATTAATATTAACTTAATATATAAAAGTATAAGCGTCTTCTAGGTAATACAACTTTTAATTACTGTAGTATTTTGCTAAACGTCAATATGTAATAGAAGAAATATATAAAAGTCTTATAGTAGTGATATAAGAGAATTCATAACCACGCTTCATTGTGGGTGTAGTAAGTCACTTACTACACCCAAGTCCCAAGACCCAAGAAGAAATTCCAAGAACATAATGACATCTGATTGTTGGCGTATAACCAGTTTGTTAACGCGTGACGTAAAATACCCAGATTGTTGTGAGAGATAATGTAACAATGGAATTGCGATCTCCAATCCACCTGCAAAGCGTGACGAATGCCCACAACAACTAAAATGGTCCATGTATTGCAGTGCATTTCTACGGACTGGTAAAGAAGAAGTAGTATATATATTATACTTGATGTACTTTATTATAAATATTTTTTTAACTTTAGAGGAAATGGACCCTGCCCTCAAATTTGAACAAACAATTATTGCCCGAAATAAGTATCTATTTGAAACTGCAGAACGAGAAAACTCCCCAATACAGCGATTCTATGGAGATCAAGTTGTGTTTGTGACTGGTGGGACGGGCTTTATTGGAAAACTACTCATCGAGAAATTGTTCCGGTAAGCGGTCATTGTTTTGAAGGAGGTAGAGCCACGTTACAGCATATTATGGTTCCAGCACGAGTAAGTCTGCTCATACCGGGAAGCTCATACTCGCACAGCGTGAAACAGCAGCATAAAACTGCTGTGTTTTAACTGTTTCTTCATAATCCAGTTTTTCAGACTATCTGTTGTTTATTCTTATTTTCGTAGTATCGCATAGTCTAAATATTCACGATTCTATTCACTTTGTAGAACAGATAGGTAAACTATTTTTTATAATGATAACCAATAAAGCTGGTTCTGGTATTGAAAGAACTAAGTCGTATATATCAAAGATTTATACAATTTGAGCACAGAGAAATATGTATGTTCCTAATTACCTAACTTAATCTTTGGATTACACTTGGACCACATTTAGTCAAAAATTGAATGAAAAAATGTAAAAAGTGTTAGTTGTCTAGCCCATCAGCTTTACAACTGCAAACCCAATAACTTATTAGTTACTTTCTACCACTTTTTAGGAATGTAACATAGTGGACATATTCCTATTGGTGGTCCCTCATAAACATAGGACCTACTAGCCCCAGACTAACATCGTTTCGTTACCTTTTCCTAATTTCCATACGATACAGTTTAATAGTAGAAAATTGAATCGGTTAAAATGTGGAGCTTTTATGCTTTTTGAGCTATTTCTAGTTTTAATGAATCGATTTTCGAATCCACTCCTCACACTGAAATATAGTATGTTAAAATTGTTTGGGCTAGTGCAATGTGGACCCTCGTTAGACAATCCTTTGTAGGTAAATGCCTTAAGGTTTTAAAATCCAGATGAGTTTTTTATGACATTTAATATATGAATTATATGTTTGTGCCAAGTCTACTATGAAGCCAATCATTAAACTGGTATACTCAACCCTTCTCAAGTCTGGACAACTACAGTTTGTTTCCATTATTATTGCATGAATAGATTTTTAAACTTGTGTCCAGTTCACCAGAGTAAATAGTGAAAACAAATTTTATTTGGTTTTTGGGTATTTGGTGTTAGGAGGTTTGGTATTCTAACGGTTAATTACTCGGCAGTCCTAGTCAGATCCGCTTATGCATGTTCACGTAGCTCATCTCAAGTATCTCCATAGAACTCCGGAGATCCTTTCGCTGGTAATGAAGCAGTTCATTTTAGACGGCATCTACATTTTATTTAATTGATAGAATCAATCATTACTTTGCAAAAATCCATTATATTAACATTGGCAAAAATTACGTTGCATATATCAGCTTAATGAAATAAAAGGCCACCTCCTGCTTTCCCTCAATTGCGTGCACTATCCCCGTCACCACTAATCCCAGCACCACTACTCCCAAAACTACCACACTAATAAAGATACACCACCGTCGATAATACCAGAGATTCGCGTCAATACGAGGCATCCTTAATACATTTTATTTATTTATTCTTAGGCTTAATAAAATAAAATAAAAATTATTACACCAGTATATATGTCTGGTGACATGGAAGATACATAAAACTATAGACCTATCTCAAAAATCCTAGAAAAACTTTGAAATAATCGCCTAATATCCTACTTGAATACACACAAGTTGCTTCTGACAACCAGTTCGGATTTAGAAAAGGAATTTCCACTGAAGGTGCTGGTGGTAACAAATCTTTAACTGTAGCTTTAGACTTGAAAAAAGCCTTCGATTCCCTGTCGGTACCTACTTTAGTACGAATACTCGAAGACATAAGTATAAGGGAAATCCCTTTAAAACTTTTTGTTCATTATCTTACTGGACATGAACAATGCGTTAAAATTGGGCCCTATGTGAGTTAGCACTGTGACGCGACTTTTGGCGTACCCTGTGAAAATCAGAGATGGATAGATATTTTCTTACGAGGACGACACGGCTGTTGTCTTTAAAGGCCGGACTTGGGATGGTATTCGTTCAATAACAGAGAGAGGTCTTGCCGAGATAGCCAACTAGTTAAATACTAATCTCTTAACTCTTAATACCACCAAAATTAATTACATAACTTTTTCAAATTATATTAACTCACAACCGTAAAACTATTTTAGAAATCAAAATTAACACATGTTTTTAATTCTCAAGCCCTGGCAGTACTTGTAACAAAATATCAAAAGTAGAGAACATAAAATATTTAAAAGTAATAATTGACCAGTGTCTATTTTGGCATGCACATCTGGAGGTAATAATGACTAGGATACGGAAACTCGTATGGATTTTTAAAACACTTAGACATGTAACAGATAACTAGATATAAGAACTTACTAAGACAAATATATATTTTATTAGCTCAATCTATTTTGACATACTGTATCCCGGTTTGGGGAGGGGACACTAAAATGAAGTTTCTGAAACTGGAAAGATTACAGAGATTATTATTACAAGTAATGCACTTTAAGCCTTACAGATTCCCTACTAAAGATCTGTACTCTCTACGTGACCACCTCTCGGCCTGGGGGCTATATATCCTTAACTGTGTCTTCAAATTGCGCAAAACACGGATATACAACCCTAAAAATTGTGACAGAATAAGAGGATATGCTGTGGCCCCAGAAGTACCTATGAAAACGATATTTGACAAAAGGCAATGTAGAAGTCAGTCTGCTCATCTCTATAGTCATTGCCGGACTGAGGCAAGTTTTAGGATGAAGCGAGACCCAATTATGGCGCCCCGCTTGCTAGCCCCTAATATATACCAGTTGTACGTTCACATCCAAGCACGAAACCGGGAAGATCTCGATAACATCTTAAGTCTATGTCTAATTTGTCTATTGGAAAGAGCCATGATCGTGGTGTTTTAAGCACTGCACTCCTTACGGTATCTATAGGAACCGTTAATGTCGAATGAAAAAACACAATTAAAAAGGAATTAAGGTACGTTTATTTAAATAAACCATAACAACAATAGACAATAAAACAAAATTAAATCAACATTCATTAATGAGATCAATAAGCATAATCAACTTTAGAACTGGTACTTCTACGTTATGTTATACGTTTACTAATTAATGTAACAGTGCTCAAACTCTTCAGATTTAGCCTACTGGCTACTAATAATTATATAATCAACCCATTGAATGTCGGAAATATTAAAACAAGCAATTAGGACACCTGTATTTTAATTAAATCGCTGCGTACGCACTTTTGCATTTACAAATTTTGATATAACCTCCTCATACGACAATATCTGAGTTATATCATTTTCAATTGACAGCAAGGCTAGATCAGAAAGCTAATCTTCTGCGAGGGTCGACCTCAGCTATGTTTTACTTAGCTTAAGCTCACTAAAACTGCGTTCATCTTTAGTCACCGTAATCGTAATAGTTACAAAAATCCGGAGAGCTCTCCAAATAATAGGTCTTTCACTATGAAATTGCCGTTCTGCAGTACTGGCCATTTCAAATGAAAATAATTTTTGTTTAGCTAAGAATTCTAATTTCAAATTACTTTTATTTTAATAACATGGAATAGTTTTTTCAAAATTAGTCATTTGTTTATTGATAAACGTTATCTTTTTCGTCATCATGGATACGTTAAAAATTCAAGTAATTATGGAAAATTAGTACCGTAGTGGCAGCAACGCGGCACGAGCGGCACGCAACATCAACGACGTTTACGGGGCGAATACTAGAAACTAACGCACCGCCTGCTATTGGATTGCCCGCTTCCGTTCTGGAAATTTCGACCTGAAAAATGAATTTCGTGATCGTTCCAAAACTTTGGTCAAATTAAAGGACAATGACGAATTTAAGGCGATTCTGGAAGCTGATGATACTCAATGTACGGTTGAATTAGCAGTAGCTTTCCACGTTAGCATCAAAATAATATTGGTCCATTTGCGTCAAATTGGCAAGGTAAAAAAGCTATGGGCTAAAAAAGATATGGGCGCCCCACGAACCTAATGATCGCCAGCGCGATGTACGCATCGAGATGTACTTTGCACTACTTAACAGGCACACAAACGAAGGAATTTTGAACCGCTTTGTTATATGTAACGAAAAATGGATTCTGTTTGACAATCGTTAGTACTTAGCAAGTTGGTTGGATCCTGATTCAGCACCTAAATAATGCCCTAAGCGAAAACTTACACCTAGAAAAGTGATGGTCAGCGTTTGTTGGTCTAGCGTCGGTGTGATTCATCACAGCCTCTTACCAAACAGGACGAACATTACTGAAGATGTGTACTGTGAATAACTGAACACGATGATGGAGAAGCTTACATGTCTCCAACCAGCTTTGGACAATCACTCGACCCCGCTACTCCTGTACGGCAACGCGCGACTTCATACTGCACAACAGATAGTTACAAGAGCTGGGATGGAAGCTCCCGTTATCCGTCGTACTCATCAGATCTTGCGCCTACAGACTTCTACTTTTTCCAGAATTTAAATAACTTCTTGGCGGGAATGAAATTCAATACCCGAGAGGCAGTACAAAATACCTTTGAAGAATTTGTTGCCTCCCCCGTCCAGCTGATTTTTTCAAGACGGGCATCAATAAATTGCTACTGTATTGGCAAAGATGCATCGATTGCACGGGTGATTACTTTGATTAATAGAAATAAAAAAATATAGAAAAATACTTAACTTGTTTCATAAAAAACGGCAATTTCATAGGTAAAGACCTAATATTAGGTAACGTATACGTTATAAACTAATTTGCTTAATTCCGCGTAAAGAAAGAAAAATAAGGAGGCCTCTTAGCGGTCAGCCTCCGCAGAGTCTACTTTACCTGAGGATTCCTCGTGTAGAGGCGAAAGACGTGTCGTATTTTCGGGAATGGTGTGTCGTGCCTAGTGTAGTGGTGCTAGGGATGGTAGTGCTGGGATTGACGGCGACGGGTATAGTGCGCCCGATCGAGGGAGGGTGGGAGGTTTTTTAAAATTGGGCAGGACACATCATTTTCTTTCTTTACGCGGATTTAAGCAATTTTTTTTATAGGATAAGGGTGACAAACGAGCACACAGTCCACCTGATGGTAAGTGGTTGCTGCGGCCCATAGACATCTACATCTATCCTCTATTACAAATCAAAATGTAGATGCGTTGTCACCCGTGAGGACTAAGATGGAATGCCTCATTTCCAGTAAAAAGGGCCTCCAGCCACCTGCACTCACCAAGCGAAACGCAGAGGTAAACCTCTACTTCACGCTGGTTTTCTGTGAGGTCGTGGTACCACCCCGGTTCGAGCCGGCCCATCCGTGCGACAGCAACAGCTGCCGCGTGGCTCTACCACTATAAATTAGTTTGTAACAACCCCATTATAATGGATGTCCGCAAAGTAACGCCTGATTTTATTAATTATTTAATACTAAGAGCTGAAGGACTGCTTTCTGGTAATATTTATGGATATGTAAAAACTTTTTCAAACGCATCATTTCTCTTAAAAGCTCCAATCTCGAAATATCGCGATTAAGATCATGCGTTCGTTTTTCTTCCAACTTTGAGCATACTTTCTTAAAATTTTCATCGGTCTTATTAAAATCACAGAGGAATCTCTTTACTCTATTCTATTTTATAAACGCAAAGTCTCATTAATTGTAAAAAGTCGTGTAAAGCATGTCTCTATTTAAGTTTATGGCGGTCTCTTACATTGGATAGAAAACATTTGTTCTGAATAACATTTCTGGATCCGGAATATATTTATATTTTATTTTTTTTCTTTATATATTTAGAGTCAAAAGTATCCGAATTTGGGATCTATCAAACCTTTAAAAATTCTTAACTCCGAAAATGTTTATCGTAAAAAGTCATGGAATATTTTTTATTTGTATTGTATCAAAGAATACAAAAAAAATTGTCTAGTTCAAAAATACTTAACAATTCCTTGCAATTGAAAAAGAAAATCGGTTTAAACAATATGGCACCGAGTTGCCCTATGGCAACATGATCATCAGCAGAACAACTTGAAGAGAATGGCATGAAAAAATTGAAGTGGAATAGTTTTGGTACTCATGCGCCGATTCTATAAAGGCTATACTCGTAAGAACATTTTCTTCTTTTTTCATTCCCGGATTCTTTCAAACTCCTACATTATTTTAGCTTTTTCAGCTATATCTTTAGCTGAGAGCCTTTGTTAATCCTTTGCCTTTAGATATATTCTTTTTTGTGCATCAGTTTTTTAGCATTTGATTAATCTATGCGCTCTGCTTGCATGCATGTGCTGACAAGATTAAAGTGGAATAAACGTCGTACCAAATGACTAAAGTCAGCAAAAACTCGAACTTCTTAAAATTGGATGCAAGTGACTTAGTTACTCTTCTTTCAAGGCACTTTTTACTCTTCTTTCAAGGCACTTTTTACTTCGGCGTACCGCTTGCAAGCTGTTGACTCTACTTTCGCACCTTGTCTGCCACACCTTCTTTAATGTGAACTTCTTTTTGTTGAGTTTGTAAAAAATACAAATAAGCGCTGAAGAATGCCGCGCTCGTCTCAACAAATAAGGTCATACGCAGATATTACAACTAGCCACACGTTCGAAACCAAATATTGAAACCAAATAGAGGAAATTTCCATCAATAAATTCAGGGCACATGAGCAAAGAAACAGACCAGAGACTTGCTTTTTTTATAGAATAGAGTGACAAACGAGCACACAGTCCACCTGATGGTAAGTAGTTGCTGTGACCCATAGACATCTACATTTCTCCTCAATAAAAATCAAAATGTAGATGCGTCGTCACCTGTGAGGACTAAGATGGAATGCCTCTTTTCCAGTAAAATAGATCTCCGGTTCTCTACACTCACCATACGAAACACAGCAGTGTCAAGCTGGCATTTTACGCTGGTATTCGGCGAGAGCGTGGCCCTTTCCCGGTCGAGCCAACCCATTCGTGCTACAACTATACTACTAATATAGCTCCAGAATGGCTCTACCACGTAGGCTTCTAAAGAGCGTGCAAAATTGTTACCTAAATAAGCTAAAAGATTTTATTTTTGTAAGATTCCATTTATTTTATTAATTTTTAGTTTTCTAATGTTAAGTTATAAATTTTCAGGACATGCGCAATCAAGAAAATGTTAATAATGATCCGACCAAAAAAAGATTCCTCGCCACAACAGAGACTTCATAAATTATTTGAAGATCCCGTAAGAAATAATGTGTTGTATATACCGTGTTTGTTAGGACTTTTTTATAAAACTTGTAACAATTCTAAAATTTTTATAGGTGTTCGATGAGTTACGTAAAATAAAACCAAATTTTGTTGATAAAATAGTAGCGGTGGAGGGAGATATCAGTGATATAAGATTTGGTATGGATATCACTGTCTGGGATTCAATGATTGAAGAAGTGAATATCATATTTCACATGGCAGCTGTTGTGAGATTTGATGCGCAATTGAAGACAACAATTTTATCTAACGTGCGTGGTACAAGGGAGGCTGTGCGTTTGGGAAAAGCTTGTAAAAAGCTTCGTTCTTTTGTTTACGTCTCCACAGCTTATACACACGCAACTCGAAGCCGAATCGGTACAAAGATTTCGGAAGAATTTCAAAAGTGTCCTGCATCACCTGATATTCTCATTCAGCTTGTAGAAACCCTTAATGATCAGAAGCTGAAGCTCTTGACACCATCGTAAGTATTTTAAAACCGTCACAAATATTAACCGTGCTATATCGATTAGCACAAAACCTGTTCACAGATAAATCACTATTATTTTAGTATTATATTACATCATTATTATACCTATTAGATAAATATTAAACGAGAGTAAGGCACTTTTTCCACTGCCAACGATGAACAAGAAGCGAGTAGAGCTAGAAACTAGATAATAGTTGGCGGGCAGCAAGAAGCGATTGTGTAGTTCCGATAGTTTTGTCGCGGGGCTATAAGCGAGTGCACTTAAATCCGTACTGTAGAGTAAAATCACCGCTGGTTGGTCTCTCGGCGTGAATTCTGACCGCCAAGTGAGCATCATTGAGCGAGTTTTATCTTTGATAGCTCTTCTCGATGCGACTCTCTTTTCTGCCGACTTCTCAATTCGACTGTATGTATTTTTAATGTGTGTTACCTTATAACTTTTTACTAGGTGAACCGATTTCGATGATTCTTTTTTATTTTAAAGCTGATACTTCTCGTGTAGTCCCATATGAATTTGATCAAGGTCAGACCAATTGTTATTAGTTATTCTTAATACGAGTAACTTATATTGAAGTCAGCTGTACAAAATTTTAAATTTTAAATTATATTGACACGAAATCTATATCTATTGTTCGCTTTTTGAGCGAGAAAATAGTCAATAGCCAATCGCTTCCTCGTCAGCGGTGGGACAAATGCCTTAGATAAATATCAAAGTATGCAGAATTATATTTGCAATATTTACAGGTTAATTGAAGACTGGCCTAATACTTACTCTTTTTCTAAAGCGGTCGCTGAAGAAGTTATACGTACCATGGCTGATGATTTACCGGTTTGCATAGTAAAACCAGCTATAGGTAAAATTGTAAACAATATTTTTATTAAGTATTTAATGTAAAATTATAAGCAATCGAGTAGTATTGCAAACTGTAATATTCTTCGATAACAGCCTCTGCCTATTAGTTAACTGTTTTATTTTTTAATAAATTATAAGCCAATGCTTGACCACAATCCCATCTAGTGTAAGTGGAAGCCTACTTACTCTTGTCTTGAAGGCGCACATTGTATACGGGCGGAAAGATAGACGCTGGCAAATTATTCCACTCCTTTGCTGTACGCAATTTTTTCTATTTCTTTTAAAAAACGAACACCCCCACACTAGGATTTTCTCCTGTATTGTGGAGCCAGTTTACAAACACAAATTGCACAAGGACAAACATCCAGACCCGGAACAATTATTTGTAGGCCATACAAATACATGTTCAGTGCGGGATTCGAGCAACTCATTGCTAAGCCACTGCGCCACGGAGCGTTACAAACGACGAAGCAAACCGTTTGGTTCTAATGGGTTAAGATTCGCCGACCGCCTGGTTGTTCGATGGTGGAAAGGAGATTATAGAGCAAATAGTCCGCAGCGCCGCTCCAGTCCATGATGGATTTCACATTATGTCATCAAAATATTTTTATTCCGTAGACATACTGGCCTCCGTACGATAATTCCTATGGTAAATCAGCACTTAAAACTGCAATTAACAATTTCATTGGTGCCGGCGGGGATTTAACCCGGGTTGTTCGCGTACTGTAAAATTACGGCCAGTGTTTAGTCCCTAGGCTAGTATGGCTGCCGTATTTTTTTAAAGGAGAAAAAGCAAACCAGCGTGCAGCTCACCTGATGGTAAGTGACTACCACCGCCTATGAACAACTGCAACACCAGGGGAATTAAAAAAACACCGGTCTTTTATAAAAGAGTAGGCTCTTTTCTTGAAGGTCCGTAATTCGTGTGAGTATTATATATATTATACTAGCTGTGCCCCGCAGTTTCACCCGCGTCATCACGTGTCGGAGGTGCGCGACATGACCTAGTTCAAGCATTTTATAATTGCAATTAAATATTTTATTTGATAGCAATGGATGGAAAAATTGGCATAATTAATGGAGTACTTTTATCTGTCGGCATATTATGTATGATGTAGAGCGAAGTTAAGTTTTATCCACTTTCCCTCCCCCTCCCGGTTGAGCAGTTCTCGCAGTTCTCACCGGGCGGCTAGGGTTAATGTGTCGTTCGCGCACCCAGCCAAGTATTGAATTATTTTAATTTTACATTATCTCTTAAACTATGCGTCCAAATAACATGGTATAACGAACAAAGTTTATCTTCATAAAATTGTCTTGATGATGAAGTAACTTTCGGTTGTAAGGATATATAGACCATGCCTTATTAGGTAAATTTAAATTAAAATTAAATTTAAAAGTGATTTATGAGCGTTATTATTATAACGCTCATAAATCACTTTTAAATTTTCAATATTTTTTTGTCACAAAATACCTAATTATGGCTTATGTATAAGAAATAGACATACGGTATCGCGGACTTTTTTTAGACGGAGTAAAGATTTATATTTTTCTAGCACATTGTATTTACGTATCGCTAACGATAACACCAGCGTACGCGGATAAATCATTTCGGGAGTGCTTTTTCTTCTGACTTGCTTAACAAATATCTATATTTAAGGCTGGCTGAGTGATATAGCTTAATGCTAGATAGCCTATACTATTTCACATGAATCTGGCTATAATATACAAAAAGAATTTTTCAAATCGGACTGGTAGTTCCAGAGATTAGCACGTTTAAACAAACAAAAAAACAAAAAACTCTTCCGCTTTATTATATTAGTATAGATATACTCACACGAATATATATATATATATATATATATATATATATATATATTTATTTTTCAGTAATTCCTTGTTATCGTGAACCTGCGCCAGGATGGATTGACATGAACTGCGTGTATGGCCCGAGCGGAGTAAGTGTATACGAGTTACCTATAGTCATCACACGTTCATGAAACCGATAGTCAAGAGAAGCATAAATTAAAGACTACATCATCAACTATCTATATCATTGGATGTGAATAAAGCTAGGGAGGTGTGTCGGGATCGTGGGTTATAAGCGCGAGAGTTTATGTATGTAGTTAAATCCTCATTATTGTCATCTCTTCAAGTCTACTACTGAACACAACCTAACCCACAATTTTCTTGCAAAGCTCAAAGCAAAAGCAAAAGTCAATATACACAAAGGATCATCTTGTGCTATTTGTATATATTAACATAATGTAAATTTCATTTCTTTGTCATTCATCTATTGGGGACTTATACCATATGCGCTTGCCAGTTAGGGGTTATCTATCACTCGAGGACCTTCTTTGCCCATTCTTTATCGGTTCTTCAAGTTACACGGCTGGCGCGTCTGATAATTTTAACAGCCTTTTTAGCCTACTACTAGAATTTTGCTATTTGCGTCAACTAGCAATCATCAAGAAGATTTTTTTCAATTCATACTCATTACGGAGTTATGCCATCAGAACCTAGTCTGTCAAGCTTTATCGTTATCTTTATGATATTAATGGAACAAAAATTATTATAACATAGATATAATTCGATTCAAAGTCTATTTTTCAAAGCTACATATTATGAAGTGAGAATGGAAAAAAAAGGCTTATGTTGTACTGCTTTTTCATCCAAAATTTTGCTACACTCATTACTTTTAATTGCATTGTAATTAGCGTAATATAATGTCATGTAATGAATCATACGTAGCACTTATGTAGGAAATGACGTACTTAACATAGAAGTGAAAATGCTTACAGCTAAGTAACTTCTTCAATTCATTGAAGATATAGGACTTAGCAGTGAACTATAGCCATAGGAGTGAACACAATAGATTATACTGATCGTAGTGATTACCATTATCGATGATAACATTATCAATGCTCGCAAATAAATAATGTGTATATTTGGAGAAATATTTTAAATGTAGAGATTAATTATAGATCTGATTCATTATAGAAATAACTTTTAAGATTCTAGGTTTCATGTAATATTTAAAATTGTTTTAATTTATATTTTATTGTTTGCCTATTATGGTCATGTAAAAGTACTTTATTAAAAAAAAATGTCTATCAGTTAATTATAGGAGTAGGATTGGGTATTCTACACGTGTTCTTCGCTGATGTAAACGTGAAAGTGAATATAGTACCAGCTGATATTGTAACGAATGCAGTAGTAACTGCTGGTTGGGAATCAGCAAGAAGACATGCGGCCGGTGATACAGAAACTAGAATCTATACTGTCAGTAATATCAGAAATCCGGTTAAATGGGGTAAGCGTTTTAATGAAGTTAATATTTATTTTTGTTTAAATTAGCCCTTAACGCATTCAGCCTGATAGTAAGTAGTTTGTAGTCACTGTTTGGGTCAAAGATATTTATTGTTACGTTGTTGTTACATTGTATGTACCGTGTAGTATCGGTGTAAAAATATCTACTCCCCCATATCATCTCATGGGTGTTGTAAGAGATGACAGAGGTAAACAAATCAGGAGATAGACAGCAGCGTCTCCCTAATAACGGCTAAAACTAAAAATAAAAGACAGTGGTTGCCAATCCGCTTGCCAAGCGTGCAACTATGGCAAATATAACGCAATCTATGGGGGAGGCCTATGTTCAACACAGGTCTTTTAAAGGCTGTAACGGTAACGGTTGTTACGTTGTGCCAGTTACTCGACTCAACCGAGTCTAAATGAATTACTTCTTGGGGCGATGTATATCGACGCTGGAAAGGAAAAAGTTACCAAGCGACACTTTGGTCGATATTGAGTTATATATATATCATTGGAATCAGCTTTTTTTTCTGCGTCGTTTAGTTCTACTTTCGTGCTTCTACGATGAATTTAATGTCGATTAGTTATTTTAAAATTCGAGGATTTTTTGTAGTTTTCGGCGACCAACCGACGATAATTTTCGTCATTTAAAAAAATATTGCGTTTAGGACAATTTTCAATCTACCGTATTTCTACTTAGTAAATTTATCCTGTTTTTGATATAAATTATTTTTGTTTTAAGTTACTTTTTCCTGACGTTTTGAAAAATTAAAAATTTATTACCTTTTCCTACGTAAAAAATTTATTTTTTTGCAACCTCTTACCTTTTTACCTGTCCTTAATATTAGCTATTTGTCATTAAGATATTTTTAACCAGGTCTGATTAACAAAAAGATGTCGTGATATTTTTCCTTCCTGTAATTTTGTCGCTTAGATGAATGTGACCTGCCGTTTTCTAATATATTTTGGCGTTAAGATATCTCTTCCAGGAATATTTATTTAATAAAAAGTCAGTTGAACCTTCCGCGTTGATCTTGAACTGTCGTGTAGCTAAGTTGTGATTTAATATTGAAGTGGTCGTTAGGAACAAAAAATTGAATTACCGTGCTACAAGCTGGCGCTTGGTGAATAGGTGTTTGACCGCGCGTCCCAATGACCGCCGCTTGGTCTAGAGAGGCGGTAATTATTTTCATTTAAGTGTTACATAATATTGTTTAGTTGTGTGCTAATGTTTGAGTTACTCATATTTTACAACTGCGAAAGGACCTGCGTTTTTCGAAATTAATAGACCTAGCTTTAATTAATGCCGGTATTAGTCCCAAGTACCTCGTTAGAAGATTATGAACCTACCAAGGATTAGTTAATATAATTAACTTTTATTTTGTTGATAACACAATTTTGTTTTTCTTTGCAGGACTCCTTAGCAATACAAAATGTTTCTGAACATTATAATGTCGTGTCATTCTAAGAAAAATATTAAATATTTTTTTGATAATTTTGAAGTATTTCAATGTTGCTTCTCACCGGATGATTCCAACGTTTTTGCTGATTTTGTCGCTGGTATGGAACTTCAGGGAATGTACCTTTTTATTTCATCATCTGTAGTGCCCCTCGGAGGTAGATCCCAGCTATGATTTGATAGCTCATTTAAAATTGCATCTTGTCATAAGCAGGAGTGCTACTGGGCCTGGGCTGACGTGTCGGTGTCCCAGGATGTAAACACCAAGAAGAAAAGAAGTTAAATAAAATATAAGAAGTATAATAAAATTAAGAAAGTTCCGCTTCTAGGTCCTACAAAAGAGTCTTTGCTAACGCAAAGCAGTGCACTAATTTGTACTTAAATCTGTAGGATTGGCGAGATATAAGTCCCGTGTCTTAGAGAATTCTAGTCTCTCGCCAAGGCTGTACAAGGGAACTTCTGTCAGCCATCTTTTTCATCTCTGCACAGGGAGGACGATTCATTGGCCCATGCCGCAAAAGAGAAAGCCGATCTGTTAGGCTCTCTTTTTGCATCCAACTCGACTCTCAGTGACGGGGGGAGCACACTGCTGACCATTCTGCAGGGTGAGTGCTCAGTGCGCAAAGCACTCCTCTCTCTGAATGTTAACAAGTCGGGTAAACCTGACGAAGTTCTTCAAATTGTGCTAAAGACATGTCCTACTAGGCGTAGGGGTAGTCCCGAACTCATGGAGATAGCTTTAGTGTACCCGATACCTGAAAATAGCGACAGTTCAGCTACAGACCTATTACCTCCTTGTCCTCCAAAATCATGGAAATCATTATAAATTTCCAGCCGATTATGTACCTTGAGGTCCACCAGCTGATTAGTAATCGCCATTACTGATTTCGCAGCGGTCACTCAGCTGGTGATCTTCTAGTGTACCTGACTCCCAAGATGATGGATGCAGTAGAGTCCAAGAGGAAGACCTTGGCCATTAGTTTTGACATATCAAAGGCCTTCGATCAAGTGTGGCACAAAGTGCTTCTTTCGAAGCTTCCTTCCCATTTGGTTCCCAAGAAATTCTGCAATTGGATCACCAGTTTTCTTGCATGCTCCGACTGCAAGCCCATTTATAGTAGGGTTCATGCAAACAAGGATGCATGCAAACACGTCTACTGTTTATGTTGAATATCAAATATATGAACCAAAACCAGTAACATTCATTGGTATACGGATGACAGCACAGGTGCTGTATTTTACATCGGTCGTACCAATGTTTCTGGGAACAAACTTGTGCCTAAAGTAAAATCGTTGTTAAATAAAGTCTTGGATTGGTCTCTGAAGACACAGGTTTGCGTGTTCACCGCTTAAAAGAACCCCTTTGTTGTATCCCTTCAATTTTAGGGCTTTTTCATTCTTGGCGTCCATTTATCGAATGAGTTCCGCGGTCACTTAGAAGGGAAGGCATAATTGACTTCTAAAAAGCTTTGCGTGCGTAACAGAGCGGACCAGTATTTCATGCCGGCACCGCGCCTGTAACTTTACAAGACGCGGCTTTGGCCTTACATGGAATACTGTTCTCATTTCCAGGCTGTGACACCTCATTGCCAGCTTATTCCACTTGATCACATCCAGCAAAAAGTGGCTCGAATATTTGATTATCAAGTTCAAGATTCAATGGCACTGCGAAGAGAATTTCAGGAATCATTTGGAGTAATTCTAGCCATCAAATTCCATCAACGCACATCGTGACAAAACTCACGACACCATCCACAACATCTGGATGCTTGGGGTCCATTACTATGCGATTTACTTGAAGTTTCTTTCCTTGCCGCAACTACTTTGTGCAATTGTTTACAACCGGTAGTTTTTCCGAACCAATATGACTTAGGGACTTTCAAGTAACGAGCTAACTCCTCTTTAAATGCCAGCCTTCAATTCCCCTGATGTTATGAATGCTCGTGCGTGGCGGTTGACATTTACCATCAGGCGAACCGCATGCACGTTTGTCCTCTCTTCTATGTACAAAAAAGTTTATAGTTCGTTAAATAATTCTAAGTAATTAGCGTTACAATATCCTTGTAAATTCTTTTTATTTTTATAAAACCGAAGGTCTCTGACGATATTTGTAACTTGTGGAGGTACTTTTAATTTTAAATTAGAAGGCTGTTTTGTTTCAGGAAAGCGGTTTTGAATCACGAAATTGAATATTATTTTATTAAAATAATTGATGTTTAATAAACAAATACTAGTGCTTTTTCCTTTTTAAACCTAAAATCCGCATTGAATTATTAGGGGCCAAACCTTACTTTAATTTGTTCTCTGGTAAAAATATCACAGACAGTAATTAATCAATCATGAAGTGGTAAGTAACTTTTACCAGATCATAGAAATGTTCTTTTTATTATATAGGTATTTTTTCCACGCTCAAATTCTTCAAAAATATCTGATTATGAATTTGTTTCGGGTTTTACTTCAAGAGTCGGTTGTCGGTAGGTCGATTTTTCCCGTTCGTGATTTTTTTATTTTTTTTACTAAGCGACACTAACTTCGGAAATGGTAAGCAAATCGGGAACTTACTTAAAATAGGTAATCAAGTGTCCAAACAGCTTTTAATCATGTAAGAATCATTCCAATAGGGTAAATAGTACAATGAATATGATTTTTTTTTCAAAATTTCAAACTTTAATCAGCTCTCCTGTAAAGTTGCCTATATGTCGCTTGGTAATTTTTTCCTTTCCACCGTCGATATACAAAATAGACACCCGCAAAGTTCAAAACCTTCATTAAACAAAGTTTGTATACAAAGGATTATTATAATACTAGCTGATATCCGCTCGCTTCATTGGGCGCGTGGATGTAAAATATCAAGAAAATATTTTCTTGATTGGACTATCGTTAAATCCATTCTTAGGGAGCGTCTACATTGCGAAATGAGTAATTATACTAAAATTCAAGTCAATTGGATATATAGCTATATTAGAGATCTCGTGATGAATCAGTCATTATAATATTAATTAGGTGGTATTTCGCTTAATATTCTACAGTAAAAACTCATTAACCAGTCAAAACCACTTAAAAACACAAAAATATTGGATAATAGAGATTTTGACCAAATTACATCGGCTAAAAGTCGTTTCGAGCAAGAATATTAATCAAAACTACTTTTGACTTATGCTTTTCGAATTTCTGAAATTAAAAAGTTAAATTTCTTCAATATTATATTTTATATCATTATAATGTACGCGGCTTTAGGGTGGCCCGAAGGCCACTCCAGCCGCACTTTAACTTACTGATATTGCGAGTTTTGACCGATAGTCTCAACTTTAAATGAGGCAAAATTACTTTTGACTAAGAATGTTGTTGGTCAGAACCACTTTTGACTTTAAAAATCAGTCAAAACTGTTTTTGACTAAGGGCCAACCATTTTTGCCTGATTTTGCAGTCAAAAGTGATTTTGACCGGTTATGAGTTTTGACTGTGTACACTCATTCCCAGGGATACATATGTATGTATCCCTGGGAATGAAGTGATCGCTAACAAGCTATTTTTAATTTGATTTAGGTTGTTAATTGTGTAACATATATGATTCTAAACTATTCATATTCAAAAAAAAGTTCCGCTGGGTTTTTCGATGGTTCTTCCATGACAGAGGTATTTTCTGAACCAGTGGTAAATTAAAATTAAGTGTGACTTTCAATAAGTATTATTTATAATCTGTATGGAATAAAAAAGTTTGTTTCTATTATTTAAAAAAAAACTGCTTGAAAATACCTACAATAGTAATATATCTGGGTTAATTATTAATTCCACAGAATTTCATGTAAGAAAAGTGCTGGTAGGTTTTCACGGTCTTTGAACGATGTCATCCGAAGAGCTCTTGTCTCTATAAATGTTCGCTCGGTTTTAAACCTTCGTGGAATATTTAGAAACGATGGCAAGAGACCCGACGGTATGATTTTGGTCTCTTGGGAGAGACGTAAAGCCTGTGGGATGCTACTTGCGTAGACACTTTGGCAGCCTCTCATCTCATAGGTACCTCGTTTAGAGCCGGGGCGGCATTAGATGCAGCTGAACTAAGTAAGTGGCGCAAATATGAGTCTCTAAAAGATGACTTCATATTTGTGCCATTTGCTGTAGCTGTAGAGACTATCGATGCGTGGAGCCCATGTGCGGTAAAGTTACTAAAGGAAATGTATCCGCGACTGGTCGTTGCTGCTAGTAATAAGAGGGCTGGTTCTTTTCTCGCTCAAAGGCTAAGTATAGCCATTTAGCAAAGAAACGCAGCCAGCGTTCTTGGCACGATACCACAGGGAGTAGGACTGTATGACAATTTAAGTTATTAGTGTTAGTCTTTTTGTTATAGTCTTTTTTAATATTGTACATTTATCAACTTTATTAAAAAATCTGTAATATTATTTGCATAATGTTAAATTAACGTTATTAATTTATATTTTTCAGGTACAATTGGAACATTCATTAGAGGGGACGCGAAAAAGTTAATGTCACCTCTAGTTACTTATTGCCCTTGGGGAGTGGAGACTAAAAAGAAATTTATGTTTACTATTTACTCTTGGTTGTTTCACTTTATACCTGCGTACATTATGGATGGCATGTGTTTTTTGATTGGTAAACCTCGAAGGTAATTTCTATATTTTCTAAAAGTAACGAATGAGATTTGCTGATATTTAGGCGCTATAAAATAGATTGAAATAATTAATAATTATATATAAATACTGACCGGAATTGAGCATTCGTTGCCCAAAATAAATGTATTCATGCAATATCCGGGATATTGCATTAATCAGGCGGCAGAAATCCTGTAAACGAGTATTTAAAATACTTGATATATTACCGTCACTGTACATTTATCAAGTTGGCATGTTTGTTTTTAAAAATAATTCATTTAAAGTATGTGATATATATATATCCCCAAAACCTACGTAACCCAGATAAACTAGTTCTAGATGTCCTTCCTAAGCTCGTTGAATAGAACAAAAATTGTCTAAATATGTGTATGAAAATATATAATAAACTAATTACCTAAAGAATTTCAAAAGAGAAAGATTATATAAAAATATTAGTATAATAGGTTAAACACTAAATGCTTTTAAGACTTAGAAAATTTTAGTGATAGTAATTAATTAATATCGTCATATGAACAGTTTGATATTATAATTTGCATGAGATGCACTATTGTTAGCTAAACACGACTGAAATGGACGAATTGTAACATCTTTTTTGATAATTTTTTTTTATATTTTATTTATCTTCACGCACAATCCCTGACGGGGTAGCCAGAAAGAACAAATTGCCAAGTGTCACGATCCTTACAAACCTCTTTCGCTTCTTTCAGATTCATTATCTTCTTCATGCATGCACGTCTAGGTATCCGAGTACTCTTGACCCTACCCTCTTCGAGCAATTTGCTCACATGGTCTTCGAAAGTTAGTCTCGGTCTACCTCGACACCTTTTAATATTAACTTTCGCGCTATATATTTTCTTCACCATTCGGTCTTCACTCATTCGCTCAACGTGCCCAAACCACCGAAGCACGCCCTTATCAATTTTTGTGATAAGGTCATCTTTCAAACCTGCCATATTGCGAATCTCTTCGTTTCGCTTTCGGTCGGCCATGGTAACGCCGCACATTTTACGAAGAGATCGCATCTCCACTGCATTCAACTTACTTTTATGCTTCTTCTGGCATACCCAGGTTTCGCTGCCATATAACAAAGTCGGTACCAACACTGCGTTACGTATTGCAAGGCGTGCACTCTTCGCTACGCCTTGCCTTTTGACTAAAGCAGTCAGGGCACCATTGACTTTGTTCCCGGCAGCGACACGCCTGTCCACATCTAAATCACATCTTCCATCCCGGCTAAAAGCACTCCCCAAGTATACAATTTCATTTACCTGTTCTAGACATTCCTGATTTACCCATATTTCACACTTCGTTCTCTCTTCGTCCCTTTCAAATACCAGAACCTTAGTTTTATTAGCATTCAAACGGAGACCTTTAATTTCACATTCCTCTTTCATACACGTGACTAATGCCTGCAGTTCTGCCTCTGATGGTGCAATAAGCACTGCATCATCAGCATACAGTAGACAATTTACTTTTATGTCACCCAATTTCACACCCAAACAGCTATCTTTCAGCTTCTGTAAACAGCTGTCGAGATACAGTATGAACAGCCAGGAAGACATGACACAACCCTGCTTTACGCCCGTTTGGACGTTAAACATGGGTGACAGGTCATGCCCTACCCGCTCACAGGCTTTACAGTTACAGTAAAGAGACTGCACAGCCCTTAGCAATCGGCCAACCACACATTACCCCGGCAACAGTTCCCACATTTTCTTCTTTACAACCTTATCAAATGCTTTCTCAAGAGCCACAAAAGCACAGAAAATCTTCTGATTAGCAGCCAGAAGCTTTTCCGTGATCATGCGGAGAGAAAACATTTGATCCGTGCATCCTCTTCCAGGTCTAAATCCGCATTGTGCCTCCCATAGAAAACTTTCCGATTTCTCTTGCATCCTACGTGTCAAAACCTTCGAGTAAACTTTACTTGCTAAACTGGTCAAGCTGATCGCCCGATAGCACCCGCAGTCAAAATGTGAATCTTTACCTTTATATAAAGGCACAATGACTGCGGATCGCCAATCATCCGGGACATCCCCCGTCCGCCAGCACAAATTGCACAGCAGATGAAAGCTGTCCCAGACGCGAGGCCCACCATACTTGACCATTTCAGCAGTAACTCTGTCTAGTCCCGCAGCCTTACCACATTTCAAACTTCGAATCGCACGTTCAATCTCTTTCATACTGATGACCTCAGTGTCATCGAGGTCCGGGTCTGGCGTACCAGTCACGGCGTCATCCCCGGATCCCTCACTAAGATCATCACACGCATACATTTCTCTATAAAATTCGCTCCATCGCTGCATGACGTCCAATTTTTCTGAGAGGACGTCATTAGTTCTCGAAAGCACTTTGTTCATTCTTAAGGCCGTCGCACCACTTCGGGTCCTTCCAACCTCTTTCCAGAAGAGTTTGGAGTTCTCCTTAAAGTTGTGCGACAACCTTTCGTCCGCTTCCATTCTACACCTTTCACGCACTTCCTCAATCAGTGCTTTCGTGTGAACTTTCTGCAGCTTATATCTTTCTTTCATCTTCTCTCTCATATCCTTATCATTACTAGAGGCCAAGTAGTCTAACCATGCTTTCTTCTTCTTCTTTACAGCTTCTTTCACTTCATCATTCCACCATGCATCTCTTCTTTTACTACTGCCTCTTTTTATTGTTCCACACACTTCTTCCGCTGCACTTACCATTCCATCCCTAAGGTTCTGCCATGTTCTTTCTACACATTCTTTTCTGCCATCGATGGTGTCAAGCTCTTCGGCTACCCTCGCATGATATTTGTCCCTAGTATCCGCTTCCTGAAGCTTCCAGCTTCGGATGCGACAGACCGACTGTGGTTCTGTTACTGCCGTCTGGTAGCGCCAACCCGCGAACAGACACCTAAATCTAGTAATCATTAGATAGTGATCCGTTCCCAGGTCAGCACCCCTGAACACTCGCGTATCCATCACCTGTTTTCACAGTCGGTCATCCATCAGGAACAAATTGATCATACTTCTCTCATTCTTTCGTTCTCTAGTATACATATGGATTTTCTTGTGATTAAACATAGTGTTTGTCACAAGAAGACCCTTTTCCTTGCACACCGCCAGTATAAGCTTGCCAGCATCATTAATCCTTTTATCGCCAAACTTTCCAAGTACCGACTCGTACCCTGGTCGAGTGGTACCAACCCATCCATTCAAATCACCACATACAACAATTCTTTCGTTTCCCCTAGCCAAATCTAGAACTTCTCTTACATTCTCCCAAAACTCCTCCAGCTCAGCCCTGGACGACGAAGCTACCGGCGCATAACCAGCCAAAAGGAATAACTTCGTCAGTCCCAATTTAAAGCGAACCCAGAGAAGTCTTGAGTTCACAACCTTATATTCAGTCATAACATCGATCAACCGAGAAGACAGCAGCACCCCCACTCCCTGGCAGGCGTTCTCGCTCTCCGGGACTCCGGACCATAGAGCTAACGCCCCGCCAGGGAGCTCTTCAGTACCACTGCCCTTCCGCTTGGTCTCAGACATACACACGACATCTAATTCTCTTTCTTTCACTATTTCGATCAACTCATTCGTCATATCTCTCATGCCTCCTCTAACATTCCACGTGCCAACTCTGCACTCTGTCCTCCACCTTCCGCCGTGTCGGGCTGTGCGTGACGGGTGGCGGTCCCCATCGCCGCTTTGCGCGCTGCATTCCACACCAACGGGGACGAGCTGGTGTGCGTCGCCTTGGGGGGAGGCCCTAACCCTCGTTGGCATGGATGCGCAGCTGAGTAGAATTGCAGCCCTGAAAAGGGCTGGCAGGGGCCGCGACGAGCACGCTTCTACAATGACCCCCAATTTTTTTGACTATGATTCTTTCAAATAAAGATTTATGATTAAATAATCATTTGCAGTAATCTAACTTAAATATGTAATATGTCGTCATATCTGTAAATAAGTTGTGCCTGTAATACGGACTATTTAGACCCTACAAACTATACTTTAACTATTTATATATACTACATCGATCAACAGATTATTTGGATATAACAGCCTCTGGAATTTATTGAGCAAAACAAACATTACTCTAAAATTTACATTCCTTTTGGTTTTCAGATTCGTAAAGCTATATGAGAAAGTCTACAAGATGACAACGGTGTTTAGTTATTTCAATTGTAATGAATGGCATTTTAGCGATGATAATCTACGTAATTTATACACGGAAATGACTGAGGATGACAAGGAAATTTTCAATTTTGATTTAAAAGATGTCGATTGGATAGAACAGATGAATATTTGGATAATAGGACTTCGAAAGTATATTGTAAAGGACGGCCTCGCGGGGACTGAATATGCCTTAAAGAAATACTTTTGGCTGAAATTGGTTCACGTCGTCATTTCAGCTATTTATGTTTACTCCCTATGGAAAGTGTTGACATTAATTTTTTACCTGTTGAGTTTGTGTTTTCAATTATTTGGATACTTGTCCGTTTTACAGATTTAAAAATTATTCCATTATTACAAAATGTATTACATCAATAGGCATTATTATTCTTATATTTGTAAATAAAACGTTTGGTGTCGTTTAAGCGTCTGTGCATCTAATAGCCAAATATTCAAACGCTACTCAATTTTAAGACGTTATTAAGTCTCGTTCTGTCACAGTCACTCTGCATTAAAGTGATAGAGACAGCATGAGACTTAAAGGTATCTTAAAATTTAGCAGCATTTGAATATTTGCGCATGAGCGTCTTGCATGTACGACAGTTAAACGCCATTGTATTCCAGTGTAGAGAGCCGGTGTAGCGGTTTCTCAAGTAGGACGTAGTCTAAGACATGAAGGTCCCGTAGATCGTTCAAATCTTACGTTTATTATAGAGTTATCGTAAGCATTATTATACTATTACATAAATGATACAGAACTATACTTTGTTAATTAAATGACAATAAAGGAGTTTTTATATCTTGTCTTCTTATTTCTTTATACAGTGAACGCTAAAAGAAAACTTCTTTCTAGATACACATTCATAACGTAACGGTATCCTTTATTTTTGCTATAAACTCCAACGCTGAAGATAGGCCTTCCATAAAACACATTGAGCTAGTGTTTTCGTTTCTGAGCTACCCGCATCTATCAATTCCATCCACTTGTATATTTGTTGTAGAAACCTGTGAAGCTATCTTTTCAACATAGACATACAGACTTATGTCTCTCTAATTGACTATACTCAACAATAAAAGTCATTTAGGGCTGATTTTTCAATTGTAAGATAAAAGTTGCCCATAAAATAAATTATATCCTGACTGAATATAAAATTTAATCAATTGTACTTTTCCATTCGTGTCGTGAGCGAGAGATTCCGCCTAAGTCATTCTACGAGTGAAGTAATGCTATGAGTGCTGAGACTCGTAAAATATCAGTATCGTGGTTTTGTTCGTTGTAGTAATTCTTCTAGTACAGGCAAGGTAGATGGTTTTGCTGAAAGACTGATCTGTGTTGCAATGAATGAATGAATGATTTTTTATTCAATATTGATTATTACATAATACTTATTGAAAGTCATTTTTTCTTTACCAATGATTCGGAAAATACATCTGTGCTGGGAAAAACCAGCAAAAAATCCAGTTGGACATTTTTTTAAACATATTTACTTACTTATCTTCACGCACAATCCCTGACGGGGTAGCCAGAGAGAACAGATCGCCAAGTGTCACGGTCCTTACATACCTCTTTCGCTTCTTTCAGATTCATTATCTTCTTCATACATGCACGTCTAGGTATCCGAGTACTCTTGACCCTACCCTCTTCGAGCAATTTGCTCACATGGTCTTCGAAAGTTAGTCTCGGTCTACCTCGACACCTTTTAATATTAACTTTCGCGCTATATATTTTCTTCACCATTCGGTCTTCACTCATTCGCTCAACGTGCCCAAACCACCGAAGCACGCCCTTATCAATTTTTGTGATAAGGTCATCTTTCAAACCTGCCATATTGCGAATCTCTTCGTTTCGCTTTCGGTCGGCCATGGTAACGCAGCACATTTTACGAAGAGATCGCATCTCCACTGCATTCAACTTGCTTTTATGCTTCTTCTGGCATACCCAGGTTTCGCTGCCATATAACAAAGTCGTTACCAACACTGCGTTATGTATTGCAAGGCGTGCACTCTTCACTACGCCTTTCCTTTTGAATAACGCAGTCAGGGCACCATTGACTTTGTTCCGGCAGCGACACGCCTGTCCACATCTAAATCACATCTTCCATCCCGGCTAAAAGCACTCCCCAAGTATACAATTTCATTTACCTGTTCTAGACATTCCTGATTTACCCATATTTCACACTTCGTTCTCTCTTCGTCCTTTTCAAATTCCAGAACCTTAGTTTTCATTCAAACGGAGACCTTTAATTTCACATTCCTCTTTCATACACTTGACTAATGCCTGGAGTTCTGTTAAACATATTTCACTTAACAATAATTTTGTTTGTACACGTTTTTAAATAAATTTTCATAGAACTAGCATGGTGGCGATCACCAAATTCCCAGGGATTATTTTCATTCATGTATTCCTTGATATCTCGTATAATAACCCTTTTTGTACAGTTTTTCCTTAATAAAACTTTTAAACTTGTTTATTGACACACTTTGAATATTTTCCGGGATTTCGTTGTAAAAGCGTATACATTGCCCCAATAACGAATTATTGATTCTGTGGAGTCTATTAACTGGTATTACAGACTTATGTCCGTCCCTAGTTTTAAAGTATGAACATCCTTATTCTTATTACATTTTCATCAATATATTGCGATGCCAAAGTTAATATGTATACTTTTTTTTAATTCTATCTCTGAGGGACTCTTTACAAATTAAGTTATAAATCGCCCGTACGACTCACTTTTGCAAAACAAATATGGCTTCAATATCAGCCAAATTCCATAAAATATTACGCTATGAAAGTAACTAAAATAAACTAATCTAGCTGTCTCAACATCTGTGAATCTTCTAATCTTTCTTACAGTACCTATATGCTGCAGAACTAAGTCTATTTGCTAATTTAGATATATGGGGGCCCCATTGAAGCTTCGCCTCAATAGTAATACCAAGAAAAACAGTGGTATCCACAAGACTTAACTTCTCCCCATTTAAGAGCACATTGGTATTCGAATGTTTAACATTAGGCATTGCGAATTTGATACAATTTTTCTTATTGCCTTTTAAGAGCAAATTGTTGGCGTTAAACCAATAAATTATTTCGATATTTACATTATCATAATTAGTTAACTGCCGTTTGAGTTTAAAAATTAAAGAGGTATCATCAGCAAATAATACTATGTCATGATTGTCCCCTACAAGCTAAGGTAAATCATTGTTTTAGATTAAGAACAGAAATGGACCAAGAATCGAGTCCTGAGGAACGCCTATTGATATTACCGATCCGGAGGAACCTTTACCATTGATCACGACTTTTTGAGTTATGTTACTGTTCGCGCAAAACTCTGTTGTCAGAATCGACACCAGATGTCACTCGGCTCGGCGCGATTCCGGTCTGAAGTTCTTCCGAGCGTGGCAGTGGCGCGCGGGTCGCAAGCGCGTCAGTCGTCCATAAGCGGTGCTAACGATTGGCACGCTGTATTCTGTTAGGGAACTCGGAATAATTCGGCGCGGCCAGTAAATATACGGTCTATCATTGTGACGCGCATTCCTGCTGGAGAGCTTCCCAGGGACTCATTGTGTTTGACTCAGAATCTGCATAAGTGCATTAGGCAATATTAGCTAGTGCGGCCTCTGTATTCTAGACTTAACTGTTGCGACGCGAAACGGTAGTGACCCTTAATAAACTGTAAACTCCGTGTGCGTTTTGTGTGTTAACCTTATAACCAGCGATAGTTAGTGGCTCCTGTAAGTTAGTAAATCGTACGATAGAGTTAATTGACTGTCAACGTGACGAAAGAAGTGACTGTGGACAACCTCGAAAGGCCCCCTCAAGTTGGAGCGGTGTCGACGCTTGGGCGGCTGCCGACGGCCAAGGTCTAGGTTCAATCACCATCAGTCACACCCAGATACACACCACATCACCATTCTTTCCCTTGCACTACACAACCACATGCGACCTGAACGACTCCGGAGGGACCAGTCGCCTTGGATAGAGGTAAGTAAGCTTCGTCCAAATTCCTTCCGGTCGACTGGCCGTAGTATAACGCTCCCCCATATATTTTAGTGTAATTAGAGAGATTCCACGTGGCCACATTGAGGCCCGACCTACGTCTGTTCGGGAAGTCTTCAGCTCATGGGCCCCTGAAGATTGGATCCTTTAAGGGAGCAGCCGTAGGCCGTAACAGTTACTTAAATATGAAATAATAAGTCAAAGCACCAAATAAAAAAAAACTAGATGGGTAGTGTTGCTGTTGGTTTGCATACTTTAATGTTATCATGTAATTACTTTCTTCATGTTACACCACTGTGTAATTGTGACAGGGACATAATTACGGTATGGTCAAACTGTAATTGCTCCATACTGAATGTGTAGTACAGTACGCTGTTTGAACATTCACTCTCACACTATTATTATTTTTAACAATTAACCTCATGACGTAATACTGACATATACAATGTTTGGATATATGTTCTGAATCACTCATTAAGGCTTTAACTAGCCTGAATGACCTTGACGATACGGCGATCGCAGAGATTTTAGCCGATGTCAACACCGTCTAGCAACTACGTTCTGTATTACTTAGAAAAGTGCAAAGATTAATAGACTGCAGAGATGACAATTATATAAGTGACATACTGCCTGTTATGCTTGCGCATCACTGAGAATTATGTCGCGGTTACGCATCTTCCATTACATTGCACGGTGTGGTGCTGTAGCTTTGTCCGGTAGGCATCACGAGCTATCAAGTGTTCAAGTTTCAAGTACGTTAGAATTTTTATTATACATATATGTTAAATCGTATTTATTTGTATCGTATTAGTAGATCTGGGTCAAAGCGTTCGCTGTAAATATTTTCCCGGGTTTGATCGCCGACAGCACGAATGAAATTTGTAATTGCAATTTTCGTCAACACGCATTGGGGAAGCACGGCGGGCATTTCTTTGGCCTAAAACCCACTCAGAAATAAAAAAAGAGTCCTGTGCCCAGTAGAGGGACTTGTATAGCCTATTACTTTACTTTGTAGCAATATTTATATTCGTTTCAGATATAGAAGGGTACCTTATGCTGACAAAAATATCATGTGGAAGCGACGAAAACGTAAAACATCTTTGTACCTAGATAAAACGTTCGAAAGATTGTCAGTCATGTCATACGCCACATTTTCTATAGAGCGTAGAACATTGCAGATAGGGCAAAATAAAATATATTATGGGAACTATTTATTAATAATATATACATTTATAGGTATTTATAATAAAAATAATGAACAAGCTGCAAGGTTCAACTAATAAAGTTTTTTGTAAACACAATCGTAAAATTCCTGTTTTAATTTTTACCAATGGTTAATT